GCTCCAATGTAGGCCAATATCAGCACCATTTGTGTCTAGTTTGGAGCCACCTAGCTGGAGCTACAACAGTTGATTGCTTCTTGTGCTGGGCTTGGAGGCACTTTGGAAAGACTATACTGTGAACGAAGGCCAGCTGCACTATTGCCGGGCTTGGGACCTTTTGGTGGACACCACAATGTGAACTAAGGCCAACCACCTCTTGTGCCAGGTCTTTGGCCACTGCATATGGCAGGCTTGGAGCCAGCTGATGGGAGTTAAAAGCAAGTGGAGACTGGTCACAGCTAGTGCCAGGCTTGAGGCTGCTTAGCAAGAGGTACAAAGCAAAGCACACTGAGGCCAACAGCTGCTTGTTTGGGGTTTTTGGACTTTTGAGATTTTTTAGGAAAGTTCATAGGCAGGCCACTTGTGTGGAGGGCAACTGGAAGCAGCTTGGGTCTGGTGTGTGAATTGGATGGGGCGAGGTCTCAGAGAATCACAAAGATGGAACAAACAGTGTTAGCCAGATTAATGGAGAACTCAGAATTGGTACTTATCAATTTGGTGAAGGGAACAATTGTGTCTGCCAGCACATTTGTCCCCAGAGAGAGGTGCCCCCCACTCCTTACCTTGAAGCCAGTCAATTCAGTTTCTCTCTATATGTTCCTAGCATTCTTCGAGCTGCTTCTCCTGAACTGGGTTCCAAAGCTAGTGAGTCTGTGAGTAAAAGAATCTGTGTTTGGCCCCTTAAAAGGAATACCTCAGACTCCAGCAACCCTTTGTCTTACTCAGAGACAAAGCCTATTCATTTTCACAGCCAGATGTATGGGAACTTCTCTTCCAAGCACTGTTACCCAGGATGGGTAGCTGGGTGTTGGGTTGAGAACACTCACTCCTCAGGGGATATCTCTGCAGCTGAGATATTCCTTCCAATTCTTAATTTCCAAACATGGGTATAAGACCAGCCCATTCCTGGTCTCCACCCCTCCTATTGGTCTTATTGTGGCTGCTTTTTGATATCCTTAGTTATAGGATTTATGCTCAGCTAGTTTTCAGGTGGTACTATAATTTAGTTGTAATTTTGATGTGGTCGTGGGTGGAGGCAAGCACATATACCTACTCTGCCATCTTGACTAGCAGTCCTAAGGAGGGTGATTATTTAAATTTAATCTTAGGTAATATGTAATAGATGGTACAGACTGAGAGTATTTCAAGGAAATGAATCTATTTTCATAATAAGTTAGCCCTCCTAACTTTATAGTTGGCAAGACACTTGCACAGGTTGCCAGACATTTCATGTTTATACACTCATTAATGATTGTTGTTACTAGTCAATGAAAAAAAGAAACATTTTCTGGTGAGAGATACTTTGTCTTTGTTACATTCTTCCTTTTCAGGACTCAGTTTATGACAAGCAGATTAAACATTATAATTAAATTTTAATTTTAGTCTATCAGTAAGAATACATAACCTTCTAATTCTCAAATAGTTGTTATATACTGCCACCTAGCTAAAGCAAAAATAGTAGAAGGCCCTATCTCCTGTTTTAATTGAAATGACACAACTGCCAAGGCATAATTTATAGACTCAAAGAGCTAATATATGACAGTGATTTATTTATTTAAACGACTTTCTAACTGTTAAGAAAATAAGCTTTTATTTATGTTTTAGATCAAATTTACATTGTCATTTCCAATTCTAATAGCAATTGTTCCTTTGAGTCACCCTAATGCTATGCTTGTTGACTGCTTTCTAAAAGAGTATTTTAAAAATGCTCAAATTATCTATATCAAATGTTTAGTAATGAAACTATGTTGCTGGTAAACACTTTATATTCATATATAGTGGTGATTTGTCATAAAACATGGAAAAAGATTTGAGATAAGGTTTTCATTTACTTTTTAAAATGTTACAAATATATTTTTATATAGGAAATTCTTAATATAGGTCTGTTGGAAAAATGGAAACCAGCTTTCTAGAACCCTCTTAATTCCAAAATGGCTCAGGATCCGAAAAACTTTGAAATTAACAAGGTTGTCAAGAACTGAAGACCCAAAGATATATAATTTGTGGACTGTTCACTTACTGATGAAAAAAGGAGGGTTTTGACTGACAGTGAAAGGATAACTTTCTCCTATACATTTGTGAGAAGCATGGAGAAAGTGAAAGGAACAGAGATTAGAAGACTCTTCAGAGCTGACTCACAACAGTTAGCCTTGGCAGTGAAAAGCAGCATATACTTCAATTACAGTGATAATTAGTGTTGCAAACTCTGCTCTCCAACTCCCAAAAGACTTTAAACCTGTCCTATCTCGGACAATTTTCCTTAATTAAGTTACTGTGGCTAAATAAGAGTTTTTTAGTGCTCAAATATAATGGCTGTTTACTGAGTGCCAGTTGTATGCTAGGCACTTATTCTAAATACATGCATCAATTCATGTATGCCCATGACAACCCAATGAGATAGTTTCTATTATTAGCTTAATTTTTCAGAGAACACTGAGAGAGATATAGTTTCACAATAAGGAAACCCAGACTTGAGCCAAAGTTTGTTGCTTCAGAGTTCATATTCTTAGTCTATAGTTTCCACTGATGAATTTGAGTTGTATTAAGAACTTCCATTTTGCTGCTAATGATTAGTTTATTTAGAGTATAAATATGAATACCTTCCAGCAGAGATTCCATGAGAAATTGATCTCTCACATGTTTTACTCTCCTTACAACATTAATAATGCATTTATCCATTTGGTTCCATTAATAACTGAATATTAAGGGAAATAGATATGTTACCCAAAGTCACAACTACAGAAATTATCTCTTCTACAATAATTAAGAATTTGTAGGTCTACAGCCATGCTACCCTGAACAAGCCCTATCTGGTCTGATCTCGGAAACTAAGCAGGGCCAGACCTGGTTAGTACTTGGATGGGAGACTACTTAGGAAGACCAGGTGCTATAGGCATAAAATAAATAAATAAATAAAATAAAATAAAAAATAAGGGATTGTAAGCCGACAAGGTCCTTGCAATCTATGAGGTCAACCAAGTGTTGCCTCGCTTAAAAAAATAAAATAAACAATTTGTAGGCTTTCAAAAATGCCCATCCAAATCATAATTAGACAGTCCTGTTACAAGGAAGTAATCAGTTTTCTTATTTTACATTACACGTCTTGTTTTAATAAGACAAGGCTCTATTTTATGTACTGTTTTGTTCTGTTTAGGCTTTGCAACATTCTCCATTGAGGAGGACTGAAGTCATATACAGTGTTCAAGTAGTTAAAACTTTATGCTAATATTCTATTTTCTATTATATGTAATAGCTTGCTATATTTTAGATAGATCTATACTGATTTATTACAGATGCTTACTATCTAAGAAAAATAATCTCTCCAATTAAAAGAAATATGCTGCTCTTGATAGACAAATATAATTAAGGGCAAAGAAGAAAGGGCTTTAAATGTATTACCCTAATCCCTTTCCCAATACACTGGGTTATATAGCATGAGCTCTGAAAGGTAGCTAGCTCCAAGTCAGAAGGCAATTGCAGCATTAAGTATATCATTCCTTGCCTAATAAAGATGCAATTCTTAAAGGAATTTTGTCTTGTTTTTATAACTCACAATTTTTCCATTCAGATATTGTTGAAAAGAGATACTAGATTCCCAATAATTATGTTGAGGAGGAGATATCACCATGCCACAAATTATATTTCAAAAGAAAGATATTTCTTTTGGAAAGAGCTAATTATTTCAATGACAACTCAGAGGACATTAGTAGTCGAAATGAAAACTATATCTTTCTAGAAGATACTATACATTTCTAAAAAAAATGACCTGAAAGGGAGCTGCTGTGGCCTTGGATTCACTGATTAATTATGTAAAATAACAGCTATATTCCACTTCCCAGTTTGTTAGACTTTACTCCTTGGTATTGAAAAAGAAGAAAATGTCACCAAGTGCAAACTGGTATCAGCCATTCTCATAAATTTGTTGTACACGACCTAAAACCACCTGAATGTTGTCTAATGTTACATCTTAACACCTCAAGAGCTGATGTTAACACTATATAGTTCTTGACTTACCATGAAATGATTAAATTATGTTTA